AGGAAGAGCTCACAATTTCAAAAGGCATGAAGGGAACCAGTTCAGAACTAAAAATCCATGTCAGCCCGGTGAGTCGTCTTGATGCAGAAACAGATTTAGTGACAACACGACAGCATCATTTAGAAGAGCATCGCATTCTCTTGACCGGAGGTCTAAATGTCAACGTTGTCAAAAACAGCTAAACCAGACTTGAAAAATGTCTGTCTACAAAAATACATAAGGTGAAGGATAACATTACCTGACTCTTCAAACCTGGGTATGCTGGCACCATTACATGGCTTCGTTTCTTAAATACTTGGTTGCTGCCACACTACCTAACACAAGTGAGAAATTTAGCAGTCTAGACCACTCAGTTTGATCTTTTTGAGCGAGTATCGAGCTATAAATTTAGAAGTGTTTGTTTCATTATGTAAAATGCTTCTGGGAGGTACAGAGAATAGCTCTGTACATAGTACAGGCAGCTACAAACTGTAGCTCTGCTCTTTAAACACTGTAGCCTACAGTGTTACAGGAGTGTAAGGCCAATGATTATTCCCGGTCTTCACATGGAGTAAGTTGGACAGGATTGCAATTTTAGATAGCTGAATCTTGCACTGTGTGCACTATCATTTGTTAACAACGGGTTTAAAGTGCAGTCTTGTTCCATGTGATTCAAAGTAGGTACATTCAATTTCCTGAGGTAGTACAATGGTAACGAAGTGGTAGGTGCAAATCTAAACTAATTGCAAAGCATATGGCCAGACCTTTTGTGGTTCATTGTTTCTAAGCAATCTCAGGTTGAAAACATGGCGTCGAGTCATCTAATGATGAGGACAACTCCGAGACTTGTCTGTAATGCTGCAGTATCGGCCTCCATAGTCTAGACATGAGTGTGACTTTGTATATATTCTGTGTCCTTTGAGATGTTATATCTTGGACAATCAAAGCTCGGAGCAGTTTTGATCCATGGTTTTTTAATGAGGTTGATTGATTGATTGATTGCTTGTCATGGTTGTCATGTGTCTCACGGTTGATGATGAGTACGCTTGCCTTTTTGCAAATTGCTAGATGTACACACTCCAGAGACGAATCTGATTTTGCTTCCTAGATGAATGGTGAAAATTATAGCCTTGTCGATTTGCCCTGTAGCAGTTAACAAACAGGATTTTGAGTTCAGATGGCAGGTCCGCAGTAGAAGCTCCCTTAATGTTTGTCCAAAATTCTTCACGCATCTTCGTTGGTGTCAAGCTTTGTCAACACTCTCTTCTTAATGTATAAGCCTTATTGAGTTGAAAGTTTGAGAACATTTGAATATCTAAGACACTCTTTTGTGTTTGTGATCAAACAAGAAACTTCCATATGGCTTTCAGGAGTCAATGTCTGCACTTGGCGGCCGACCTCGGCACCCTATATGGAGTCTATTTGATCCTTACAAGTTTGTTGTAGGCAGTGAAAAGACCTTGAAGTTCAGATGCCTGCAATGCAATTTAGCCATCCGAGCCAAGGTTGATAGGTTGGAAGCGCATGTGATTACATGCACAAAGCGGCCTAAATCTATGATTGGCTTGATGGACGTTGTGTCGCAAATGCAATCGAATGGTGGCAAGATTCGGCTCAAATATCCATCATCGTCAACAGTTAGCGGTTCGTCAAAGAAGAAAGCCAAGTCGATGGATGCCGAAGATGAGGAGGTCGTCTAGCCGGTATCATCCCACATATCAACAAATCTTTGTCGAGCCAATCTATGGTCTTTCGTTGATTCTCTTTCAGTTGATGATCATGATAATCTGGACAATATGTTTGGAAATGCAATGCATCATACGTCTACTCCATTCACTTCTTTTGAACATCCATTATGGAAGAAATTCTTCAAGCTGCTTCGACCTGTTTGAACTCCTTCTACTTCCCAAACTATTGGTACATCTCTATTGGTGTCTTCATACGCAGATGTCATGAACGAGGTATTTCAAAGTCTACGACAATATTCTTCTATTGCTTCTCTCTAGATGGTGCCACAAACGTGCAAAGCAAACAGCTATTAAATCTAATGGCATGTGTTCCAAAAGCTTTTTTTCTACAGCTTTTTTTCTACAGCATCTACGTTGTTCCATCGTAGAGAGAATGCTATAAATCTTTTGGCCAAGTTGATGGAGGCGAAGAAGCAATTGATGGTGACTTTAGCTGCTCCAGTTGCAGATGTGGAGCAAAGCCAAGATGTCCAACAACTTCTTCCTAATCCATTGATAGATATTATGTTTTTGTTTACTTCGGATAGTCCCAGTGTAATGGCTTTGCTTCGCAGGAAAGTGTTGCAGTTGCCGGATTTCACAGTTGCATTTGGCTGTACTCCACATGGTTTGAACAATTTCACATTAGATATTTTCAAGAAGTTTGATATTCCAAAAACGAGTGTTAAGGAAGCTATATACGTGGTGAAAACCATCCGTAGCACTCATCTACTCTCGTCTCTCTATGACACCTTGTGTAAAGAGAAATTTGGAATTGCTTATGTGCTCATTATATTCACCAGAACTCGTTGGACCACAAGCTTGTATATAAACGCTCGGCTGAATTTGGTGAAGATGGTTCTTTCTCTTCTTCCTTCCGCCATATCTGTTGGTGAATTGGATATTGATATTGATGAAATTGTGAAGCAGCGGATTCTGGATATCACCTTCTGGAAGCGATCAATAGCCATGGAAATTCTTCTCCGGTCCATTTGTGCAGCCACAGGACATTTGGAAGGCGATGCTTCGACATTCTCCTCCATTTGGGCGTGTTTTTTATTGATCAAGATCCATATTGTATCTTTTTCAAAAAAGACTCGCATAGTACTTGCTCTGCAGGAAGACTATCATATTGATGAGCTTGTCAAGTTGCTTCATCCACGATTAGCCACAATATATTCAGCATTCATGGCATTGGCCTTCTGAACAGATCCATATTATCATCAATTTCGTATGGATGTTGAGACCAAGTGAGGTCTGGAGTTCGTGGAATTGGGCAAGGGTTCCATGAAAGGGCAATGTCGGGCAACTCTTCAACAGTTTGCAAAGAATTCACCTGACCTTGTCGGGAAGTTGATCACTGATTTCTGTAGATTTTTAGCACGCCGCATTGACAGGATCTAATCTCTATCTTCAGCTGAAAGTTATGCATCCACTTCTGGTTTGGGTATAGATAGTGATGAACTTAAATGTCTATCTCCTGCCTTGGTCCGAATTAATCAACTTCCTACAGGTTCTTCTGATGGCGAGCGGAATCACAAGACGGGCAAGCGGGTGCACAGTAGAACTCGAGTCAACTTGGATAACTCCAAAGTTGAAGCTTAGACTGCTATATGCTACAATGCTGCAGTTCTTCGTCGACAAGAGATATCTCATAGAGACGAGGAGAGTGAACCTTTCCTTAAAAAACTTTTCATTTCTCTTTCAGGTTGATGAGACATCTGAGCCAGAGATAGAATCACCTAAACAACTCCTGGAATATGAGGCTCGATTGGAGGAGATTGCCAAAGATAAAGATAGAGAGTTTGCATTCCTAGTTTCAGAGATGAGTTCTGAAAAATTTGATTTGGAACTGTTTGATCAAGGTTTTGATCCATACAATGTCAATGCAGAACAGGTTGAACAGCTTGTGTTCTCGTCTAAGTGATCTCCGCTAGGACGGCCAAATCACATGATAATTGCATGGCCGAGACAGTATTGATGGTAGTTATTTTGTGTAATTTCCAGGGCGGTACTGTATATTCTGTCCGTCTCATCTTCTGAATATAAGGACTTGTGAGACGAATATGTCGTAGAGCATGTGTACTCCAACCTCTAAATGGCGAACTTGACGGAGAAAAATGTATGAAACGGTTTGAATTGTGTTTCATCATATATATATATATATATATATATATGGGTAGTGTTGCGATCATGCTATGTTTTCTTTGTGCTTGGTCGACTTTATATCTTGTGTACTTTGAATCTGTCAGTTGAGTTCTAATGGACACCAGGAAGTTATAGTTTCCAAAGTACAAGTTGTGATCAGTGGGAATAGGCTGGGTCCGGACAAATTTTGATTAGAACTTCATCCAGCGGGATAGTCTGGGAACACAAAAGTTAAATATATACCTTATATACCTTTACATTTGTTTGGATCTGAAAACAGCACGTCATACCGTCTGGAGGGATGGGCTTCGGTACGCCTTATAGAAGGTTGGTAGTCGAAGTAAAGTGGGACATTGGTATGGAAGTCATACCAACTTCTAGGAGTGGTGTTTCCTTGATTCTGATCAGGGTTTAGTCTAACGGCTGCGTCATCCTCCACACTTTCGTGTGTTTTAGTGAAACATAATCAGCTTGTCTACTGCAAGATATCCTTCAGACTCTTCCTTGAGACTTCCAAATTGTCTACTTTATGAGTCCTTCGGAGTCTGCATACCAGTCAAGTGATGGCAGCTCTTTGTCCTGAACCAGATTGATGAGGTCACTGCGCACTTCATGTGATCGTATATTTCACCTGACTCAATGACGCGCGTCATTGAGGCACGTGAAAGTACAGTACCGTTCACTTCAAAAACTTCGCCTATTCTTCTCAATACATCTCTACTTCCTTGGGCGACGACTGCGGCCAAATTAGTAGGCATTGTCTCACATGTTTTTAGACTCCGTTGTATTTTGTCTACTGATCCCCTTCAGTCCAATCTTTTATGATTTCAAAATCTGTAGACAGCTTCTTTGGGTATTCCTACATGGCCTTCTCGGTTGGAGATCTGTCACTTATATGAACTCTGCTATTGCTACTAAAGATTGATATGTACTATATGTACATATCAATCCTTAGTAGTGTGACCAAGTAGTTTGACCGGATTCACTTTCGGATGGGGTCTCCCTCTGAATCTTAGAACATGATTCTCATTATGTTCCCTATGTAGGATGTGCCTGAAGTCCTTGTTTCTAATGGGTTCATCCTTTCAATTACACGAAACTGATTCCCAGTGTGTTCCTTATTTGGTTTTTTTTTCCTTTTTTTTTCCTGATGTACTCGTTCCGGATGTGGTCATCTCATCTGAAACATATGAGCATTATATCCTATAGCGTTCCTTATGTACAGTGTACTAAAAGTTAATGCGGGAGAGTTCATCTCTCAAAGTAAAAGAATAGTATACTCAGGGTGTTCCTTGAATGGGTAGTGCCTGAAATTCCTGCTCTGGATGGGGTCATCCCTCTGGATTACACGAACAGTACCCCCAGGGTGTTCCTTGTGTGAAATGTTCCTGAAGCCCTTGTTTTGGATGTTTTCACCCTCTCAATCACTCGAAGACAATTACCACATTATTCCTTTTGTGGAATGTACGTAAAGATGCCGTCTGATTCTGCTACTTCGAAGTAAGGTTAGGAGTAGCCATAGACATTTCAATAACTGCAACTGCACTCTTCCGGGAAACCGTTATTCAAGTAAAGGTAAGTTGAAAGTTTCATGTTATCGGCTGTTCTCTTCTGAACTTTGAGTAGTAAATCCTAAAATAGATCCAAGAGTGAGGCAGAGCAGCTGTGATGATCAAAGACCAGATGTAGATTTAATAAAATTGGTAAGCAATGCCGGACATCATAATCTACATAGTAACCGTCTAACCTTGGTGCTACGATACAGAAACACAGATCCCACTCTTGTTGATCCACCTGTACGCACATCTATCTCTAAGGTCCTTCACAACTTGCACAGCATAGTCGAAAGCAGTACGAGCTATAGACAGGTTCCTCTCGGCAGCTACTTTCGAAGACATCCACGATCATGGCGTCACGGCGATGCACGTGGCGACAACATTAGTGCACGGTGAAAAAAATTATTCAGTTTTTTGAAAAAGAGCAGACTAGGGCCACACCCGCCCCCTAATTACCATTCCCATTCCCGCTTTTGTTACTGACCAAGCGCAGTTTTGCCACTCCGCAAAGCGGTACAACCTGCAGCAGCAATGCGGGAGACAGGGGCCCCGCGCCTCTCCTCTGGCTCGCGGCCGAGCTAGGGTTAGCAGCTGGAGGCGTGGCGACGAGCGAGGCTTCGACGCGTTTGTATGTAGTGGGTGTGACTGTAGCAAAAACGTATGTGGCTCTAGTCTGGCCCTTTTGAAAATTTAATTAGATTTAATACAATAAAACATAGATGGACTTTTGGAACTCTGTATTATACTATATACAGCTATGTATATATACTATAAATTAATCGGTACATATCACTACCGCTGACAGGCAGCCTGAGTAGCCCTCGGGTTGCGTAGAGAGTACTCGGAGAACGTGTATCAGGGTAGACTCTTGCCTATTCATCAACTGCCTCAAAGTTTGAAAATTGTGCGCACTTCTGAGTATGCATGAAAGTTTCCATGATTATATAAAACATGAATGGTATGCTTACCTACAGTCACTTCCATCTTGCTTAGATATAATCTCGTGGTTGAAAACGTGGGTGCACACAGTTTGACGACTTGAATTTGCTTTCCTCTCACTTGATGTCCAGTGCCTGGGATGTAAATTCCTCGCTCACTTAACTCTCAATTTCCATAATTACGGTCAATTCTCTATGATATTTACCTTCCGCATGTAGTTTCCTCAACTGACTTTCAAAATTCCATTACTGTATATTTATGTAGGATGACGCTTCGTCAGTTTCGACTGTACTTATCCTACCTGTCATGGCGTTCGGAAGACTTTCCATTCGGTAAGAACTCAACGTGTACAAACACATGGATACAACATGTGTTGTGAAATATAGACGAGTGTAGGCATAGAGCTCTTCTAGACTCTGACGCATCAGAGAGATTCCCATTGATATTGTCAACATACTCCGAGGAGTTTGATGTGTTTATCAATTTTCTCATCATCTGCACTTCTTACACGGTCTATACCATCAATCCGTAGTTTCTCCTCAGAGCTTACACTTCTCTTCACTACATCGTAGCGAAGACGTTAACATGCTTCTGTTTCAATTAATACAAAGTAAACCAGAAAAACCTAGGATATGTTGGAAGTTTCTTGTGACAGGCTTCTCAGCTTGTATGCTTGGAACAGAGCATAAACTTTGAGGGAAACAAAATATATGGACTCTCGTATTGCATAAAATTTAAACAGGAAGATTCATTACTCAGGTGTCAGGGTTTTCAGAGGGTAAAGCAGCACTCAGAATGAGTAGGAGGTATTTCGATTCATTGGACGTGTCCTCGAAAATACATTAAGATTTTCCTCATAGTGCTGCAGAGTAAGGTCAGGATTTTTGAATGGATATACAAAAAGTGCTGATTTATAGAGTATGACGTTGACCTAGCAGTCGACTGATCAGCGTAGATCTTGGTGTTGGTGTTATACTTACTGACGAATCTCATACGCTTCTTGTCTTCACTTCAATCGGCTGTACAAAAGGGGATAGTTGCTGGAGATGGATGGTAAAATTCTAGCTGTCACACTCACGGAGCTAGACTCTGGTCCAGGAAGACTGGGAAAAGGGACTAATACGCGGGAGGATATTTGCATCAGAGATTTTGAGATTCCAATTGATGTAATCAGCATTCTCCGAGGAGATCTGTTGTCCCTATCAATTTTCTCATCAGCTGCTGTTCCCCTCTTTCGCGGGCCTATCCACAACTGTAAATTGTTGCGGACTTTTGCCAAAGCAGGTTCCAGGCGAGCCACAGGCCTCAGCCGAAAGATGGTGATATTCAGAGATCATCATTGACAAGCTATGATGGCCGTTCTGAGTGTTTACATCACCGGCCGGGCTCGCCTTGAGTACGTAGAATAGTGTCTCTTCGAGATGTAAAAGGAGTAAAAAAATTACACATTACCTGGTGACTACGGGCACATATGGACTGGCGGGAGATGAATCAATGTCCCGACACCTAAATGAAGACAAAGATTCGTGTCCCGTAAGGCCATACTTGAAATCTTGAAGTGGCAAGCAACGCTGCCTGAAGTTCGGGGAACGCGGCCTCGAATACCAAAAGCCCTGAAAAGATATAAACTGATCAGTCATGTGAGTACACTGAACGAGACAGAGAGCTCTACACTCTGACCTGATTTTCTATTGGATATCCCCATGCATCAGAACTTCATTGCGATATGTTTCATCAACGTCAGAAAGACTAATTCAATATGCCATCATTTGCTTGGGGCTTAGGAAATTCATGTGCTAGACTGTGGACATCCTCGGGGACCGACTAGGACGTTACAGACAATCCGGGAATTCCATATGGGAACATCTTTCCTCACAAGCTCAAAGCAGGACGCAACCCTAAACTGGTTCGAGTCGAACTAGTACATTTCTTGCAAAAAAAGTTCAAACATCTGTAAAACTTCGATTTTGCATACTAAATAACTGTAATCCCCAGCATGCGGGGGTCGAATCCCACTTGCCACGCTTGAACCTATCTAAGAGTAAGATAGATTGGAGACGGGGAAGCGTTAATGTGGGCAACAGGGAAGAAGAGGATACCATTCCCTTGGCACAGAGTGCTTCCAGTGGGGTAGCCACGACAATGTTGCCACTACTAACAATGTGCAGACAAAAGATCTAGTGAATCAAATTCTACGAAGATTGCATACCTTCCATTACAAGTCTGAACAATTGACGTTCTATGGCTCCGATTCATCCACCCGAATGCAGCACCTGGTGTCTTACTGACACAGGACGTGACCTCAAACACGCCATGTGCTTCGCTGAGATAGTTCTTCGGCCACGGGCACCCAAGCACAATGTATACTGAAATACAAGAGTCGGGGTTATCTATTGCTGAGCAGTGCAGTGATGCACACTCGACCGCCTTCAATCGCGAGAGGCTCAGTGTATCTACTGTCTCTGAAACCCTAGAATATATATGTAACGATTTCCGCGCAAGAAGACGTCTGAGTCGGAAAATTCGTTCAAAAGTTTTTATTACTGCTAATTAGTAAGGAACGAGAGCATTAGCATCATCTCATCGCAATTGAGCTAAACGGAAAAAATATCTTAGACGTTTATGGATTACTGAACTCAATGCAGCCGCAAGAGGTAATGGAATTTCCTATATTCTATTAAAAAAATAATACATGGAATGGATGGGACGGGTTTAGCTGCACAAACTTATACATAGCCCCTATATAGGGCCTGCATAGACCCAGGCAGGTGTCATCCTGCAGTGAGCCGTAACGGAAGTTCTTCTTTTCGCTCTGACTCTACTCCTTTGAACCAAAGATGGAAGAATGTGCGGGCAGACTAACCGGGCAGGTTTTTGATTGGCACTCAGTTTTCCGGTGGAGCATCAAAGTGACTAAAGTAGATCGCTCCGCTTTCCGGCAGTCGGATCTAGCGATGGACTAGAAGAACATATGGGCATCCATCCGCACTCAACTATGAGGGAATCCCTATTCTCACAACCTGGTCGACGTCATACTGACGACCATAGTTTTTCACAGCAGAATTGTTCAACCGATGTTTGAAACTGTGTCGACCACCTTGAAAATGTTTCTCTTCGTGCTTTTCCCTTCTTCCCCTGCTACCTGAGCACATGAATCCACCGGACAATGGACCGAATAGGCAAGTCACAATTCGCCAGTTAGTCTTTCTAAATCAAGACCTGAATCGACGTATCACTTTGAAGAGAGCAACTCGGCACATTGATAAAGTCGGTGTGGATGATCCAACAGCGATGGTTGACTATGCTAGAAAAAGGTCGTTTCAAACACGAGTCAGGGATAGGAGTAACATTCAAATTTTTTCTTGACTCGCTGGTTCAAAGTGCGCTGGTGATAGTTGGGGAACTCCGAGGAGAGATCTTCTTGCCGAGCAGGTGATATCTAGTACATTGGTTCACCCAATTGTGGAGTTCATGGTCTTCAAGTTTCGTGTTCAGTCCTCTACTTTCTAAATGCTGAAACCTTCATCCTGTTTCTATCAAAGGGAAAGCACTCCTGAAATGTCCAGAAACGCGGACATTGTCACTCAGAAACTTTTGAGCTTCGATGTCTCCGGATGAATGAGAAGGGTTCTGTCTGATATGTTAACCTTCTAGGACTAACTTCGAGAGCCATATTTCTCAAGGTCTGTCATGGTGCTTCGAATTACATGGCCCGAGAACTGAAGTGCACCTTTGACTTGAGGTTCTCGGTTGGAATATAAATGCTCCTCTTGATAGCTTCTAGAGTTATTTGGATGTATCGTTGAATAGCCAGAGATCAGATAAACATATAATAGCCAGAGAGTTGAGATGTGGAGCTCCTTCAGTTTGGTTCATATTGCTGCGCAATACAAATTGTAAGCATGTCCTCATTCTGATCTAAACATTGGGTTACAGACAGGTCAGAATTATTGGTCGATACAAGCCCGCACGATTTACATTCTCTCATTCTCAAGACTCAAATTCTATTTTCTTCCGTATTTTTTCAAAACTTTATTTTTTGAGGATGATAAGTACCCTCTCATCTCCGAGTTGTCGAATGTGCCCATGAGCCTCATCAGGGAGCAGCTATCAAAGTCAGCAAACCGGAATTTAGAGAAGAACGAGAGACATATTTGTCCTAAGTTCAGGTGAATTATTTAAAACTCAAATGACGCATGAAAAATTTCTGATATATAATAGGCAGACGTATTCTGCAAAGCTACTCTTATGGAACTTCTGCCAGGTTTTGAGTACATCGTCTGATAACTGGCAACTTCTGTCGGATGAGACAAAACCTGTATTTGGAACTCGCCACCCTTTTGGCTATTACAAGCCTCTGTCGAATCAGTCCTCACTACTCTCCGTACTTACTATCCAAGGTCTAACTTGATTCACTCAAGCATGCAGTAAGTTCACACAACACACCTATGACCAGAAATCTTACAGCAGATGCTTCTGCTGACTTTATTTATGTCGTCAGATATACACATGGTTCTGTGATGTAGGGTTTAGTGTGATACTACATTGAGTTCGAGAATAATTCTCCAAATTCTGACAAAAGTACTGTATACGTCTTCCTGTTTTCGTCATGAGAGTTCTCAAGGAATATAAACAGCATAATTTGGAGGTGTTCTCTCTCATTTGCAGTTGCAAGGGTTGCATGAGCACTTGTCACCTCACTTGCATCCTTCGTTGGCACCCTCAAAGCTGTATCAAAAAAAACAAAATTATAATCAGATATTGATCGACCGTCCCAAAATCCAAGAACGGTGATTTTATGAATGTAACGCCATGAGTACATAAGCCACCATACATGTTTACAGGTTAATCAAGCATGAATTGCAAACATGTGTCCAATATATAGAAACCGGCGGGATGATAAGTACCCTATCATCTCTGAGTTGTCGAATATATCCATGGACCTCATCGGGCAGCAGCTATCAAAGTCAGCAAACCGGAATTTAGAGAAGAACGAGAGACATATTTGTCCTAAGTTCAGGTGAATTATGTAAAACTCAAATGACTCATGAAAAATTTCTGATATATAATAGACTGACGTATTCTGCAGAGCTACTCTGATGGAACTTCTGCCAGCTTTTGAGTACATCGTCTGATAACTGGCAACTTCTGTCGGATGAGACAAAACCTGAAATCGAGGCGAATTACATATCTCGTGCGAAATCTACTTATAGAAATGGTCAGCTGCACCATCAGAGAACAAACAGATGCAAAGGATGGAGGGAGGGGAGCAGACACTTATGGCGTTGAGAGCTTGTGAGAATTCAAGTTCAGCACAAACAAAAATTCCCAAAGTCTCTTAAACACATGCATTCAATGTAACATAAATTAAGCATAACACCTGAATTCTACAATTAGGAACTATTGTCACAATGACTTTGTCCACTTCAGAATTCAGGTCAAGTCACTCAGTGTAGCTTTCAACCAGAAGCCAGTCTCAAGTTTAATGGTGCTCTACTTCACTGCCAACTAGAACCAGAAATCACAACAGCAAGACTTCAGCATATAACTTGGATACTTTGCCCCATGGTCAAAAAGCTGAAATGTACATGTGCAAATCAGCTACCACTTCTTTCGAGCTACATTGGAACCTATCTAGGTAGAGTGGAAAAAAAAACAGGTCTGAAAATTGCCATTGAAGACTTTTGTAAGTGAAACTAACCAGTATCGAAGTCCACGTACGACTTTCAATTCATCGCCATATGTTAGCACGTCGTGTCCTCTCACCAGGTGGCTTTCTCTTGGCGCCTACATCCATGTTATCATCTGAAGAACGAGTTCTCCTATCTGTAATAACAGCAACTCAATCGCATATATTATCATTTTGATACAACATATTTCAGTTAAAGTTAAAGCTCCAAGAAAATGCTTGGGAACCATCTTACTTGCACGTTTTTCGCCGTGATCACGTTCTGGTCTTTTGCTAAGATCCTTAACAAGACACATCGCTGTTGCAAACAGTTCAACTTTATTCCACCACTTGTTGGCAGCAACAGCCCATTTTACCGACCCTTTGTTTTTAAGTGTGTTGACACGGATCTTATATGAGGCGTCTGCCGTATAAAGTTCGTCTGCCGTATACTTCTCTCCCCACTCCAAGAGAAGATTTCGTTTTTTTGCATCCATCCTCTTGACTTCAACCTTCGCTCCCCACTTTTCAACTTCCTGTGATATATGTACAGACATAAAAAATGGATGTATGGGCTCTACGGAACCATACATCTCTGATTCATCAAGAGCTGACTTTGAAATCTCACCCTGAAAAAAATAACAAGCACAATACTCTTAGATCATATCCAAACTGCAATATCTGTAATTGTAACATAGACATTACAAATTGGAAAATCTTTACGTCAGGAGTAAGAATGTCTGACCTTTGTCCGAGCTGTCTCTTCATCTTCGATGACACCCAAGTCTGCCATGCGCTTCATTCGACCTCTCAGAACGGTTTCTCCAAGATCAAGTTTAGCTTTCCTGCCCGTTGGACTATAGAGATAATCCAGAAATTTCAAGATTATTCGTTCATTACATTCCAAAGATGGATTCCAGTTGGATTGTTCAATCCAACTGTACTTACCACAGAATACTATCCATTCTTTTGACTCAGCTTTCAAATCGCTGCAACTGTCATCTGCACTCAAGATTGCCACAAGATCTTCCATGGCTTCAACTTCGTCAATGTCAATCTCTGACTTCTTCATACCTCGCCGTTGACTGCTCTTTCTGTTTTTGGCGTGCTCTCCCTTCACCCACTCTTGAATAGAATCTACGAACTGTGTCTTTCTCCTACAAGGATCTAGTAGTTCGTCAAGATGATCAAAGACAAAATTTGAAAACTCTGGAATTCTCAACATGTTCCAACCTGGAAGGAAATTCTTGCATACGAGTCTCATGGCCCTCAAAATCACTAAAGGTTCCTCCAATTCTCCTATATCCTCTCCCGTCATTAGAGAATATATTTTTTGGTCGAAATACCCCTTAATAATCTAGACACACAACTCAAACTGTCAATTCTGCAACATATATACGGTTATTCCAATCTGAACATAATAAATCTCAGATTATTTGTGGAAGTCTACTTGAATTCAATTTGAAATAAACAATGCAAATAGAAAAAAAAAACTTGCCAAAAAAAGAATTGCATACCTCGCCTCGAAAGAAGTCCAACTTATCTTGCTTGTGCTTGATCCAACGTTGACAGAAATTACCAAAATGCTTGTCACAAGAGTCAATCAACTCTTTCTTGTCAGCCTTCCTGGAAACTCCAGTCGTCTTTGGTCCAGGTGGAAGCTTCTGGGTAATTTGGAGATGACAGTCCACATGGTCCAATGCTTTTCGATATAATTTTTTTGGGAAAATGTTCCTGGGAAAGGACAACCTTGCAGTAGGCATTTCCAGTTATGCCTACCGC